GTGATAAGTATATTAAGAACATATCCTATATTAAAATTAAATTATTCTATAATAAACTAATTAAAAAGTATATAAGATGTTTCGATATTTTTTTTTGTATTGGCGACATGACATAATGTCATTATATAATTTTCTATCATGTTTGATATATCAATATTTTGATAACACGGGAAAATTTTATATATTTAAAAATAATCTACATAAAATAGTTTGAAATTATTTTTTACTTGTGAATCTTTACTTTTATTATATTGTAAGATCAAATTAACTATGTAATTAAAAAAATTCCAATAAATACTCTTTTTAAAACCTAAGAAAACATTTTGAGGATTTGACAAAAAAAAAACATCTTGAGGAAAAGAAAACTTTATATATGAATGTTTTGTAACGTATGGTATCAAATATCAATAATTGATACAACAATTTTGTAATTTTAGGCCAAGTTTAACTCATCTTGACACATCATTGACAATTTTGCACTAGATTTTTTCTCTATACAACTAATATTAGAAAATGCATTTTAAAAAAAAATATTATGAATTTCATTTATTGATAAGATAAAAAATAGTTCTGAAAAAACTAAAAAAATTTTTATGTCACATACGATCTTGATTTTTATATAGAGTATTTATGAAAATACTCACAAAGACATGAATAAAAAATAAATTTATATAAAAAAGTATCATTTAGTTAAAAAATTGTAGAAGCTATATAACTTTAGATAATATAAGAATCAAATTCTGTAAACCAAATATGTGATCAATCAATTTCAAAAGCATTTAAATTTCATTAATCTTTTACTAGTGTTTATCTATAAATTATTGCATATTTCACTTTTTAAGTCTTATTTTTTCGGTCGCGTGTGGACTCAACATTTTTTTTTACAATAGTGGACACGGACCATAACGAAAAGATTCCAAAAGAATATGCTGAATTCTAAAGCAAAATTGAAAATATAGTATTCAAATGAAAATATTTATATATATCATCATATGGTTCACTTTCATATTAAACATTTAAAAATGATGTTTGAATTTTTATAAATAAAAATTGTGAGTATAAATCTTAAACATCATTTAAGTATATAAATGTTAATATATATATATATATAAGATCAAAATAGTTTTAAAAATCATCTAAATAGTTGTTCCGCGCAACGCGTGGATTTTCACTAGTATATATATATATTAAACTTCTATCTCCATATATTGAAAAAAGAGTTTATCTAAATTTAAAGTTATAGGCAAAAAAAATCTAAAGTCATACAAGTTATACAACATATTTTTTTTTTTGTATTTTGTTTGATAATGTTCAAGTAAATATATTTCTAGTTTCTAAGCTAAAATCTTAGAAACTCGGTTTCTGATCATAGTGGAAAACTCGAGTTTTATAAAAGTAGAGGAGGCAACACGTTAATTATTGAAGTAACTGCTACAAATGTGTGTAATTTTTAATTTGTTGTGAGTACCAACCTTTGGTCATTCTGATAAGGACAACACACAGGGAAAAGGAAATGCTGTGACTGAATTGAAGTCTATATGATTTAGTCAAACCCGGTAAGTATTACAAGTCGTGAATTTGGCTTTTTATATAAACCAGCATTTGGACATATCTCTACTAATTAATCTTTCATTTATATATTTTAGTAGAAAAATCAAAATTATCTAAACTTAATCATGCGGGCTTGGAAATTAAAAAGCAAGTTCAAAAGAGTGATGTGACGGACCAACTTCAGAGTTGCGTATAAGCCATATAATATAATCACATGCACGTCTCGTCTACCATAATTTTTTGATAATTTTCAATATAAAATATTAATACCGGAATACAATAGTCTATTACATAGATACGTAATTTGAAATTATCTTCCTAACTATTAGTCTCACGAACTAGTTTACTTGTATAAATATAAATATTGTATATCATCGTCATTTATTGTAGTGTTTGTGACAACTATTGGAGGTGGTCTAACCTTCCCAAAAGCACCAAGCACTATTGAGTTGAGGTTTTTTAATGCGTTTTATATGTATGTGAATCCAAGACAAGATAGAGCTAGCTCTAGTGAGATTTATTAAGAGAAAAATAAAAGTAAATCAAAAGTGCTATTTACAAAACCAGTGAAAGATCGAATTATTTCTAGATTAATGAAGTCTGATTGGTAACTTAAAGCGGTACAAGTTTTTTAGTAAGCTGGAACGGTAAGCGTTATAGCATAGTCCAAAGTTTTAAGAAGTAGCGGTAAAAGAGTATATCGTTTTTTGGTATCGTTTTTGTGATTGGTATAATATAAAACGTTACAAATTATAAAGTAGCTGTAAGCTCCACAAAATATGCTGGATACACATATGAAAGAATCACAATCAAATATACACTGGTTAAAATATGGCAGTTTCAATTCCACTAATTTCTTGTTTATAAATCTTCTCAATTATGTATTCATTATGGATGT